GCATAGAGAATGGTATACTAGACAACATCTATCGCAGATACATACTTCATCTTTATCAAAATTTATTCCTTTGTCACAACCACAAGCAACGCAATTTTTTTTAAAAGACGCATGGCACAGTTATATTAGTTATTTATGTATTAAGGGCATAGTAGTGATGTTTATATTCTCGAGGGCGACAAGTTAAAAAGCTCGAGGGCCTATGGCCCGAGAGCTTTTTAGTCGCCCGAGAGTTTATGCCCGTGGTACATACAAAATTTTATGTCTTGCCTCAGCCACACTATGCTCCTCGCACTGCTCATCGCCCTGCTCTACGTGCTGCCGCGATGTTCCACTCTTTTGTCCACACACTCCTTTACTCGGGCAATTAATCGCCTCACTCCGCATTTGGCATTTGCCTTTGCAACACGATGGATGTCGAAACTGTTGGCTATGCATTTTTGGTATAGCTAATGACATCAATTTCCTAAAAAGAGATACGTTCTCGTCGTCTTCACTAACGCAGATGTTGGATGACATCTATTCGTCATTTAAAAAATGAGGATGATGCTTTCCGCCAGCGCTTCGCGCGATTGTGTGGCCAGTCACTCGCGCTCGTATTGCCGATCCCTTGACTCGCGCCCAAAAAACCAACAAAACATGGAGCGGTTGGCAGAACGAGGAGCATGACGTGCGGCATTGCGAGTGATGTGGCTACACTACGTCTCTGCCTCCTCGTCACGCTACTTCCCATGCTACTCGACGAGTGTGTGGCTGGGGTATTACAAATAGTTTTCTTCGTCAAAGTAAATATTCGTTTCAAAACAATTCATTATGTTTGATTAAGTATGCGTGGTTGGAGTTTGTTAATGTGATTGAAACCATCCAAACGTCAAACGTAATTTTAAATAATTCAATTCATCGTGAATGACCAAGAAGTTCCAGAAACTATACGAAATAAGGCCAATCTTGTGATTTAGTAATAAAGTGGTACTTTATGCCCGCGTTACGCGTATCACAGATATAAAATGTGCTATGGTAGGTTAGTAAGACCATTGAATAATTTATTCAATGGTAAGACATAAAATTATAAAAATGTTAGGTCACTATATTTTTAATTTAATGCCTACACAAGTTTTACATTATGTATAATGAACGATAGAGATAAATGGTTGGAGCCGACAACAAAACGGAGTTTAGACACACATTCGCATCTACTACAAAATAGTGTATATAAGTAACGTCATTATAATGTGATCTCTAGCGAACGATGGATTGGCAGACTACTTATTGCGTATACCTACCATCGCCAAAGCATTGAGCACTGCAGAAAATGGACCGCTCTGTGCCGTACAATACATTGGCAATACGCCTTTCGGGAGGTAGCGTCCTATTTTTACGGATCATTTTCGCTCAATTACTTTCTATTCTGCCTGGTAGTTTTTACTTAGTTAACACTTAAAACAAGCGTCAACTGGCGCGACTGCGTGACGTGTTGGTATGAGAGGCTAAGAAACACGTAAAAAAAATTGTTTTTCGGACTGAAAATGGTATATATAATAATGTACAATGTAAAAAGAGCATAAATAACTGTCAGCTGATATTTAAATGTGGCAAAACCTGTTAGCTGGGCGTCCAAAGTGTAGCGTAGCGTTAGCGGCCGCTAGCGCGCGGGGCGACTTTGAATTTTGATGGCCCCCAGCTAACACATTTTTCCACGTTGTCGTGTCAGCTAACAAGTGGTTTCCTTTTTTCTGTACCATAAACTGACGAGGTACTCATTTCCATACATGCTGGTGTCATATTATTGGAGAAAAATATGATTGAAAGAGAATACATGAGTAAAATGGTATCACATACTGTATAATATATTATACTCGTACATAAATTGAAACATTGTATTTTATAATTTGTAACGTGGTTAAGGACATACCTAGAATAAATCAAAAGAGACAAAACAAACCAAAAAAAGCAACTAATAGCCCTAACCACGGCTGCGGCTGATTACGGAGCGATTATGGTACGTTTGTGTAAGATTATTTTAGGCGCTACTAACTTTTATTTTCGTGTTAGGACAAAACGCAACCAATAACGCATTTCTTAGAGTCTTAGACAATTCTTAAGAAATGCGTTACAAAAAACAGACCAGGTCTGCGGGAGTGTGACTGAGTCGGACTTATGCGACAGCGTGCGTGTTAATAAAGGCAGGCGTCGCGTCGGTCGGTGTTGCCAGGAGCTGAGGCGCTTGCGTTACGCTTTTAATAAATATTCAACCTCTTATATTTCTTCAACCGTTCGTCTAATTGAAAAAATGTTTTAGTAAAAAAATTACCTTGATTAATTCGACATATTTTGTCTCGCACATGTATACCTGTATCTCCAATCATAACGAAAAGACCTCGCGACTGAGATTTTTATTACACTTCTCGTGCATATACAGTTTACAGAGTGGTTGTTGACTTTCTTTTTGTTCTGTGAGACAGCAAATATAATGAGCTTTCGAACGGTACACAAATTCTTGAAAAATATTCCTAAGTAACTTCGGAAATGCTTGCGCCCAATTACAGAGTGACCCGCATAATGCTTTTTAGAGGTGCCTCTGCAGAAGGTCTTAAGTCGTTCTATACTACTCCGGTATTTACCTTACGAATTAGGAAAACTGCAAAAAAAAGGAGAACCTAATTCGGAGTAGTCGACAGAATGCTTGAAACTGATCTAAAGAAATTCCCATCTCTGCCACAGATGAAAAATTCTTACCTCAGCTCAGGTTCAAACACCCGACATCCGGCTATTATGTAGCCCATCGCTCTACCACTGAGCTACTATAATCGGTTGGAGTTTTGTTATTTGCTTTCTTACCAATAGTGAGAGTAGAATTCCTTTTATTTTTGTGATTGCAAATTATATTGAAATTAGCCTTTATTTTTCTTGCTCCGTTTTTACTCTCTTTCTAATTCTTTTGCTCCTTTAATCCTTTTCTCTACCCTATAATTGAATGCTCGTTTATCTTTCACCCTGCTTTCTAGATTCTGTGTCTCATCTTTGGTTTCTTTGTAGCTATCAATAATCCTCTCGCTATTGCGCGCATGAGGTGCGGAAGTTTCAATTTTTGCAGCCAAGTTTATTGGGATTTATCCTCGTTCAATTGATATCAATAAAGCTCAAAAAATATATTATTTTGAGACCCGCCCATAGTTTGGGGATCTAAATATAAATAAATTATAAATATGTATAAATACACGCCGTCTTTATTTCCAAAAATATTTAAACAATCTTCCACTGTTTGTCTTATTTTCTCCTTAGCTTTCTCGACCACCAGAGGGCTATTTTCTAATTTTTGGGCACGGCTCCCTAACAGGAAAATAAAAGTTAGTAGCACCTGAAAGATAATCTCACACCAACATACCTATAGTAGTCTCTCCGTAAGCAGTCGCAGCCGTGGTTAGGGCTATTAGTTTCCTTTTTTTGGTTTGTTTTGTCTCTTTTGATTTATTTTATGTCCTTAACCACGTTACAAATTATAAAATACAATGTTTCAATTTATGTATAATATTATTATACAGTATGTGATACCATTTTACTCATGTATTCTCTTTCACTCATATTTTTCTCCAATAATATGACATCAGCATGCATGAAAATGAGTACCTCATCAGTTTATGGCACAAAAAAAAGGAAACCACTTGTTAGCTGACACGACAACGTGGAAAAATGTGTTAGCTGGGTCATCAAAATTCAAAGTCGCCGCGTGCGCTAGCGCGCGCTAAAGCTACGCTACACTTTGGACGCCCAGCTAACAGGTTTTGCCACATTTAAATATCAGCTGACAGTTATTTATCCTCTTTTTACATTGTACACTATTATATATACCATTTTCAGCTTTGCGAAAATGGTCCGAAAAACAATTTTTTACGTGTTTCTTAGTCTCTCGCCATCTTAAGCCACGCTTTTGAAAAAGCTGACGCCCCTATCGTGGATAGGTTATGGATCAAAAATCTATAGTAGAAAGATGAACTTTGCGAAAATGGTCCGGTCAAATAGGACGCTACCTCCCGGACTATAACTACAAAACTGAAGTCAAATTTCAAAAGTTTAAGAGTAAGTTACCTATAACCTGTATCGTGTTTGAATTTCTTTATTTCAGTATATTAAATTACTTTTTCTATTTCGCGTTGTTTATAGCTCCATTAGGCTGCAGTCCCATTGATCAATCGTCAGCGATCAACGGCGATCAACCAAAAAGCAAGCGTAGGCGTACAAACGGGGTTGGTCCTACTGCTTCGTTCGTTAGAAACCAAGCAGCATCATTTGTCATCGACTTGTTTGATTTTAGTCTGTGAACGCATGTGACGTATTCACCGCCATCTTTAAATCAGCTGTTCACAACAAAACGTATCCTGTATCGAATTTTCAATCTCAAATTAAATTCTAAATTTGTATAAAAGTATTCTGCTGGTGTATATAATGTGTAGTGGTAATGGCAATGGTTCTTGGACGCCAGAAGAAATAGATACCTTAATAGGATTAGTGCAACAATCGATCGGTGTCGGTACTCGGTTGATCCGATGGAACCGCTAGTAAGCATTCATCGTGCAAATGCTCGATTGTGCACGTTCGCGGACGGTTGCGCGTTGCGCGCGATTAGATGAGACCGCAGCCTTACCGTTTAGCTGCCATGATAATGACATAAATTCAAACGGCATGGTGTTCATGATTGGCGTCTGTTACTATTTGTTTGTTGTGTTTTGCGTGTACGGCGTGGCGTCACTATTTCTTATTCCATATTTCTTATTCCTTATTTTTTTCATTGTGTAAGCATGGCACTTATACGTACATACATGTTTGCTTTAAAATTTTCACAAGTTGCAATCCAGGTCGTGTGGTCGAAGCTATTGCCACACCCTGTACAGAAACAAAGATCACAGAAGGGAACAGAAAATAATGTCATTGTCAAATATCAAAAATTGTTTTTCAACTTTTATGTAAGAACGTGCACAATCGTTCCTTTCAAAAAGGTAAAATACAAAATGATTAAATTTTGAAAATATTGCATTTTGGACATTTTTTACCATAATCAAATGTCTGATGATACATCTGAACAACTAAAAAAATTCACCTTTTCCTCCAAATATACCTACCAGGGTCAGATTCAGGAAGAAACTTTAGAAGTAATAATACCAGAGGTATTTCTTGTTGCAAGTTTTTTTTTCCTTTAAATTCGTACTGGTAATACTGGTGGAGGTTACATTATCTAAATTAATCTATTCCGCTATTCCTGTACTTAAAAAGTCATTTTATTTGCAGCTTCTGCAAGCAAGCTACTCGTTTTATACGTGGCCATCAGCTCCAGTTTTAGCCTGGTTCCTGTGGGAGCATCGCAAGGAACTCTCCGGCCTGAAAATATTAGAAATCGGATCGGGAACTGCACTACCGGGGATAGTCGCTGCTAAGTGTGGTGCTAAAGTAACGCTGAGCGATTCTGCAACATTACCAAAATCGTTAGCGCACACGAAACGTTGCTGTCAGCTCAACAACTTGAACGTCAATCAAGACATACGTGTGATCGGTTTCACTTGGGGACTTTTCCTAAACAATTTAGCCTTAATTGGGCCTCTCGATTTAATTTTGGGTTCGGACTGCTTTTACGAACCGTCTGTTTTCGAAGACATATTGGCAACAATTTCTTATCTATTCGAAAGCAATCCCGCTGCCAAATTTCTTTGCACCTATCAAGAACGTAGTTCGGACTGGTCAATCGAGCACTTACTTTCCAAGTGGAATTTAAAGTGCCAATTGCACAACATCAATAATTTAGGACAAAGCGCCGGAGTGAATATTCACGATTTAATCGGCGATCATAGTATTCATTTGCTGGAAATTTCGCGCTAAAACACTAATGGCCTCAAATGTTCGTCATATGCTTCGATTGTATGTCGGGAACATACCGTGGACAATTGGCAACAACGAATTGAAACAATACTTTAGTAAGTTTGGGCACGTTAATTTTGCCAACGTGGTTTTTAATAAACAAACTGGGCTTTCGCGCAATTATGGATTTATAGTTTATAGTAACCGCGAAGGATTCGATTCTGCGTTAAATGTGCAGTCACATAAGCTCGAAGGGAACACTTTGAAAGTTGAGCCCGCAGGCACTAATAGTGAGAATTAATCGGGTAATTTTTTAGTAGTTTTAGTTTAGTTATGAGTACCGAAAATTTTGATGATTTGGCGGAACTGGGAATCGAGGAAGATGAGGCGACCTTAAATTTTTTAAATGCTGCTGACCACGTTAAAAAACTCGTTTCAACCCTTGATAATAATACACTATTAGATCTGTACGGCCTTTACAAGCAGGCAACCGAAGGTCCCTGTAATATTCCGCGGCCTAGTTGGTATAATATGAAGGCACGATCAAAGTGGGACGCATGGAATAAATTGTGCAACATCCCCCAACATGAAGCAAAAACTGACTACGTTAAGCTTGTCAGAAGTCTGGACAACAAATTTATGAACAACACAGAGAAGTGGGTCAGCGTATCGATTTTTCAACAAAATGAGGAGGTGCTAAATGATGGTGAGAAGTCTTTGTTAGATTATGTAAAAGACGGAAATAAGAACGTAGTTACAAACATCCTAGGAAAAGTTGATGTGGAAGATCGTGCCGACTTATTAAATCAGCTGGATGAGAGTGGAATGGGTTTAATCCATTGGGCCGCCGACAGAGGCCACCATGAGATCATAAGCATCCTAATTTCGAATGGAACCGATGTCAATTTGGAAGACAGCGAAATGCAAACTTCTTTACATTATGCAGCTGCTTGTGGTCATAAAGAATGCGTGCGGGTACTATTAGAAAACAATGCTGACGTTAACCTTGCAGATGATTCAGGTTTTACACCTAAGGATGTTACAACTGATGAAGAAATTGTAAAAATGTTAATGGAATGATTATACCTTTTGAAAGAATCAGCCTCTTATTTGTTAGTTTCCTTGTGCACTTCATGCATTTATCGAGTACCATATAAATATTAAACTTGGTTATTGAATAAACATTAAAAACTTGTGTATTATACTTTAATTTATTTGTGTAATTACACAAAGCAAAAAAAACTCCATTTACCGTTTTGAAGACACTTTCCAATTGGAAGTAAGTAGGCGCCATATGGGATTTTTAGATTACTTGATAGATTTTTTAATTCTCTTTTCAACGAGCCATCATAACATAAGATTGAAAATAAGGTACCAGTTATATTAACGGTTTTTGTATTTTAATCAAGTAGTCTGTGACGAATAAAAAAAAACAAAACAAAATCTATTCGAGGCAATTCTCTATCTTTAATAATAACAAAGTTACCCATGCAATCCCACCCGATTTGGGACACACTGTATATCTCCACTCTGCGATATAACTACAGGAAATTTTGCGGATATATACTAGAACCCCCGAGTTAAGATACTAGAGTAGTTTGAATGTTAAGTTTATTAATATTCGTTTACGAGTATATTAGTTTACTGTTTTCCCAACTATTACTGTTTCATAAATATATTTCTTATAAGGTTATAGTTTAATTTGTGTATCTTTATACATGGTTATTCTATTTTTTTGCGTTTACGTTAACTTTTATTTTAAGATTAATACTGTTATTACTTATTAGTCTTGATAATTATTGTTACTTTCGGCAATGTTTGCTATTTTTGTTATTTTTTCTCATTTTGCATTTATTATTGTAGCTATGTACTTTAATTGTAATTTTTCTACATTCTTAGTCTTAAGCCGCGTACTGACTTGAACAAATTTGCGCGCACGAATGTTTGTGCGTGCAAATTATTTTATGTCATGGTTTGTGCGCGCACAACCCTGAGCCAGTCGTACTCCAATAAGACACATGCAACTATGAACGAAAACTAGTCCTAACCAAAGAATATTACTCTTTGTCCTAACTGAGCATGCAAAACGCTCTGATGTGAATGTAACACCGACAAGAAACGGATACTATTCGTGTGCGAATACTTGTTCGCGCACGTATATACTTTTGTCTGTACCGACTTGAGCAAATTTGCACGAATAGCGTTCGTGCGCGCACGTTTGCTCAAGTCAGTACGCGGCTTTAGGGTAGAATTCATAGATATTACTTCAGTTAGACTTACACTTTACTAAGTGCACACTTAGTTTAGTTTTAAGTGGAACGTATATTTACTGCTAGTATTCCTGCTTAACTGTCCGTATTTCGCGCGTTACTATAGCAATAATGCAGGGACGAACCGATAAGAGGGGGAGGCACCCTCTTATTTATTTATTTATTTATTACCCCTCTCTTATTCTGGGCCCTCAACAGGCTTGCGCCCAATTACAGAGTGATCCGCATAATGCTTTTTAGAGGTGTATCTCCAGAAGGTCTTAAGTTGTTCTGTACTATAACTCCGGTATTTACCTTACGAATTAGGAAAACTGCAGGAAAACCTAATTCGGAGTAGCCGGCAGAATGCTCGAAACTAGTCTAAGGTAATTCTCATCTCTACCACAAATGAAAAATTCACCTCAACCCAGGTTCAAACACCCGACCTCCGGATTTATATAGTCCAACGCTCTACCACTGAACCATAAAGTCGGTTTATGGAGACATTTCTTTGAATATTAACTATAGATGCATTTAGTAAAGAAAAACATAGTGCACATAGCTATAGCCTTTTGGGAAATACTGATCAATGCATGCGGAAAATTCGCTAGAGTTACTTGCCTTAGGGCGAAAATCATTTTGCTTGTTTATTTACTTTTCGTTGTTGGAAAATGAAGTCACATATCGGAAGGTGCTAGTGCTACAAGGTGCCATGTACAGATGTAGGTATGCAAAATACTATTGAACGTAATTTAGTAGAAGTACCAATATTGTAGCGTTTCTTTAGCTTGGCTTTTCGCATTTCGAAAGTTGGAAAATTTTTAACATCCCCCCCCCCCCTTTAAGAAACCCCTCCGTCCGTCCATGCAATAATGTCATGTGTCACCTTAGCAATTATATCTTTGAATACCACTAAGTCCACGACGCTAAGTATGAGTAAAGTGTAAGTCTAACTTAAGTAATAGCTATGAATTCCACCCTAAGTCTTCAAATTGGCGTGTTTTGCTTTTACAGTAAATTCATTATTTTTTTTAACAAGTGGGGAAATGCATTACGCACACTCTCGGTGGAGGTCTGGAGTATTGTGGGACTCCCCCATTGTCGGAGCATACCCATTCTAAAACCCCATCTGAGGCTTCGGCTTCTAAGGTCATTAGCCTGTATACTAATTTCTTTTTTTTATGTCATAGTTACGATATACGCGCAGAACAAAATGCATCAGGTTACATTTACTCTCGAAAAAAAAACAAAATTTAAGAATATCACAGTATGTTTGCTATTCCAATTCTATGGATGAAAGCTAGAGTATTTTTGCATGGCTCTTTATTTTTAAAGTTATCTTCCCATGTCGGATTAATATTGAAAAGTGCACGTGCATCAGAATATTGTGGACAAACATATATATAATGTGATCTGTACAATCTAATCAAGTTCAAACGCCATACGTCGATATAAAATAGCAGATCCAGTGGCGTTGCGTGGCCATTGTCGCCCAGGGCGGAATCATAATTTGCCGCCCCTTTGACGTCATAAAAATATTGATTAAAACGTGTTGTTGACAAAAAAACGTAATCATACGAAAGAACTAAAAGAAAAATATTTATTTCAAAACCATGTAATGCACATGTCTAGCCTGTGTTCAAACGTATTCTATAAAAATAACGTCTAGTATAAGTCTTAAATTAAAATTGTAGAGTCTTACGGCCAGCAAAATCACTTATAACTTCGTCAAAATTATTTTGGTCCATCACACTTTGTTCTATTGAGAAAATGGCCAAATCGCTCAATTTTATGGTGCTCGTGGTAGATCTCAAGTAATTTTTTTAATTAATTGCTAGAACTCGCATCGGACAGGGACGGACTGTATGCAAAAAAATATGCGCGCGCGGGACGAGACGAATAAATTACTGGTATTGGGAGGGTGGGACATTCAATGTATGTAAAAGTGGATAAAGACTAACTTCTTGAAACATTTGGTTGACTGACCGCATAAAATATTTTTTCCGCATGTAGTACGGACCGACGGCGGTTAGCTTTCAAACGCGGCCCACTTGTGATTTAAAGGATTCAAACAGCCGGGACGTTTTGCCGCCCTCCTAATGGTGGCGCCGGGGGCTCGGGGCAGTTCGCCCCTTCCGCCCCTCCCTTCGCTACGCCACTGGCAGATCCAGACTCGGTTTAATCCTTTTCAAAGCTGTATCAGACTCCGACCACTGATACTCCAGCGCTCATTGATTTTAGTCTAACGTTTGTAGTACCGTATAATATTAATTAAATGTTAGATTAATATTAACATTCTCCGCGAAGAAGTCATGAGTCGATTGAAATAGAAAAAGTGACTATAAAATCTGATGAAAAAACTCGAATGTACTGTAATTAAACCGAATTGTGCGCTAAATACTGGCGGTTTTTAATTTCATAAAAAAGCTGTAATTTTGGGAATGGTAGGACTAGAATTGAAATTGTCCCGCAGAATTTTCCAGGGAATTTTCCCTTTCGTTTTATACAAGAAATTAAAAAAATTTCCGCTGTTGTGGAGCTTGTTTCGTGTGTAAAGTGGAAGGGGGAGAATGTTATCTCTCGGAAGCAAAAGTGGAAGTGCTCTTGTTTTTGGTGGTCCAAGTTTCAACACTTGCTTAGCTTCCTTGTTCCCTATTTGGCATCGCCATAAACGAAATAGCTATAGGTGTTGAGGAGACAATTGATAAATGTCGCTGTATATTGGCGATCTAATGATTTGCTGCTATTCAGGAAAGACGGTCATTACCATAACGCGACAACTACAAGCACTCATTAACATAATTTGTAATATATGAAAAGACTGTCGGGTATATGTGCTGTTTGAGGAGAAGACAAA